GGACGGGGTGACGAGTACGGGGACGCGCAGGGTCACAGGGTGCTCAGGCTCTGACCTGCTCGGGAGGGGTGGGGGCAGCGTGGGTCCTGGGCCGCTGTTGCTGTAGGTCTCCGGACCCGGACCGAGTCCCCTCCCCGGCTTTTCCGTACCCCTCGAAACCCCCCCGCCGGGCTCCTAGGCCTCCCGCCCTTTCCGCTCCCCCCCGCGTCCGCCCGCTCCGAGAGCAGGAGCCAAAAGGGGAAGGAAGTGAGGACAGGAGCCAGGGCCACGGACTAGGGGAGCGCTGGACGCTCAGGGGCCAGGACCCAGGAGCCCAAGTCCCTAGCTCCACTGTCCTCCGCCTCCGCACTCCGCGATTCTGGAGACCACGTCGCCCCGCACTGAATTGCAATAAAGATTCCTGTCTCCAGCCCGCGGGGAAAGGCAGGAGCAGAATTTGACATTCCCTTCCCCAACACGAACACGACTAAAACTCCCGCGGTAAGCTTTTCAGGCGGAGAAAGAGCGGGTCACTCCACCCCGCGGGGTTACGCTCCCCACCCAACCCACGAAGGTAGCGGACCGAAATCCCGGCCGGGTTTTCCGAAGGGCCCTCGGTTCCCGCCCCCGCGCCAGGGGGCGGGGCAGGAAGTAGCCACTTCCGGTTCCAGATTCTGCGCTCTGGGGCTTCCGGCGCTGGGATCTCGGCTGGCTAGGTGTCGCCTCGCCGGTGGAGTCCCTACTGCTTGCGGACATCTCATGCGCCAGTAGTAGCGCCCGACGCCGAACTGTGTCGACGGGGCGTTCTCTGAGGGATTCAGGGTCACTCTGGAAGGGACCAGAAGTGATTGGAAGATTTATTCAGGTTGGAAAGGGGTTGGAATGAGAGACCCGGTTGAAAGCATTGGGACACAATTTTATTCCCACACGATTAAACCCGTTACCCCGTCGGTCTGTCCGACCGTCCTGACTCGGACGTCCCTAAGCTGCGCTGTCGCTTCCTTCGTCAACGTCCAGCAGCTATCTGATGAGCGCCCTCCAGTGGGCGTTAGCCCCGGCGCGGGGCTTACAGCGGTGGACAGATAGGCGGGTCCCAGTCCTCGAGGAGCGCACGGTCCACGGGGAGACAGGCATTTAACGACGACTCACACGATCGCTTAAATACAACTGGTGAGCCGCACAGGAGGGACGCGCGGCAGCCTGCGGGGAATGACGAGGCTGACCTGGTCTGCGATTCAGCGAGGGCAAGGGTAGAACCAGGCAGAGGGAACAGAGGGCTGGGACCTGGAGGTGGGCGGGAGGCGTTTGCTTCATTGGAGGAAAGGAATAATTCTCTGTGTGATGAGCGTCGAGAGGAGGGCTGGGGAACACCATCTAGGGCTGGAGAATTAAGCAGTGGCGCCAGTGCGGGGGACTTGTAAGCCAGGGCAAGACGAATGGATTTGGCCCTAGAGCACCGGTTCTCCCAGTATAGCCTCGACCTTACAGGTCGCTGAGACTGTCCGGGGGTATGCGAGATTAAGACTTTTTTTTTTTTTTAAGAAGGGGTTTCACCATGATGGCCAGGCTGGTCTTGAACTCCTGACCTCAGGTGATCCACCCGCCTCGGCCTCCCAAAGTGCTAGGATTACAGGCGTGAGCCACCGCGCCTGGCCTCCCTTAATGATTTTTAAGAGGTCCTGAAAGAAAAAAATCTTAAGAACCACTGCCCTAGAGCTCCAAGAAGGAGAATGCCATAAGGTTTGTGTTTTTCAAAAAAGCATTTCCCGGGCCGCGTGTGGTGGCTCATGCCTGTAATTCCACTTTGGAGGCCCAGAGGGGTAGATCACCTGAAGTCAGGAGTCCAAGACCAGCCTGGCCAACATGGCAAAACCCCATCTCTACTAAAAATCCAAAAATTAGCTGGTGTTGTGGCGTGTGCCTGTAATCCCAGCTACTTAAGAGGCAGGAGAATCGCTTGAACCCAGGAGGTGGAGGTTGCAGTGAGCGGAGATTG